GAGGGGGGGGCTGGCTAGACAGCGCCTGGGAGCCCCCCCTCGCCCAGCCGCGCTCCCGACCAGCCAGGTGCTCCTGCACTCCCAGGGAGTCCGTTCTGCCCAAGGCTTTCAAAATCCACCTCCACCCCAGCCCCGAGCTGTAACGGCTGCGTTTACCCTGGAAAAGGCCCGACATACTCATAACGTTGGTGATGAAGGCTGGGGAGAAGACTTGGTGCAGGACGGTCTGGGGGAAGTGGCTAAGCTGAAACATGGACATGAGGATGTTGACGGTCGCCAGGGGTGAGCTGCCGGCTTTCTGCTCCAGGATGGCCTCCAGCTTGGGGAAGAGCTCGCTGTGGTTGGATGGGCGGTAATTCATGCGGCTGAAGGGAAACACCAGCTTCTGGATCACCTGCAGGCAGAGGAGAGAGAGTCGGGCCGGGCCAGGCCACGGGACGAAGGACTGGTCAGGGCCTGGGCAGGATCAGGGCACATCCCCGTCAGCCCCCCGTGAGATGCCCCAGCCAGACGGCAGAGAAGGGACTCCATCTCCCCCAGCACCGGGGCAGCCCCAGGCATCCCCCGCAGCCTGGGGCGGACACTCACCTTGCTGTCGAGCTGCTCCCCACGCTTCAGGAGGAAGTTTGCGATGGTATCAAGCAGCCGCGGCTCCCGCAGCCGGTGCCGGGCCACGTACTTGGCAATGAGGGCCATAGTGTAGGGGGTGAGGTTCTCCGCCTTCCTGGGGAGCCACTCTGCACAGAGCAAACCACAGCGGGGTGTCCGTCAGAGAGGCCCGGCTCTGTCCGAACTGCAGCTCTCCAGAAGCCCCTACCGCCCGGGCAGGAAAGGCAGCGCAGGCAGGTGGGAGACAACCAGACCTGGGCAGCAGAGCCATCTCTCCCGAAACCCAGAAGGCTTCCAAAACCCATCAAGTGATGGGGCTTGTGAGAAGCTGGGGCAGATTCCCATCACGTGCACCCAGAAGGCACGGCCGGAACGTGCACTGAACGGGGCCCTTCTGTAGAAACCCCACCGGAACCGACCTGCGGCCAGTCTGGAGGCAAGGCAGGCTCACGGCCCCTGGAAGGGCCAGGCTGGCGAGTCAGTGCCAGGGCGGCCACAATGCAGAGCATCTCCTGCTCCAGCCTCACCGCCGCAGGCCCTGGTGCTCAGCAGGGCCCCAGCTGGTGCCGTCACAAACCCGATGTCCTCTGGGGCCCAGAAAGCGTGCTCCAAGGCTGCCAAGTGCACGGACAGAGCCCAGCGCGCCCTGCAGCGGGGAAGAGGCTCACACCGCGGGCAAGGCTTGGACCCTGCCTGGGCAGAGCCTGCCCTCACCTGCCATGCTGCGGATGAAGCGCTCTTGGCGGTTCTCGTAGAAGAGCTGAGAGCTGAAGATGGCCTCCAGGGCCTTGTTGTTCGCCTCCTGGGCGCACAGAGCCAGCATCTCGTCCAAGAGGGCCAGCTCGTGCTCCCGCATGGCGCTCACTTGCCCCAGCGTGTGCCTGACGAGGCGCAGGATCTTGCGGTTGTTGATCAGCTGCTGGTCGGAGGCCGGGTGTCCCTGCAGTGCCTGCGCCCGCAGCCGGTAGTAGGAGAGGAGCAGGAAGAGGGTCTGGGGGTGCCGCTCCTTCTCCAGGTGCCGCTCCAAACTGCTGAGGCACGACTCGACCAGGGGGTGGGGGCTGGACGGGTGGAGCCTCATCACACTGCTGAAGACCATGGAGACGTCCTTCTGGTTGAAGCGGCCCAGGCGGCTGCGGGATTCGTCCTCCAGCACTCGCACCAGCGGCGATTCCCCAGGCAGGCCTGCGACAGGGAAGGGATTAGGGACGCTCAGACCCCACCTCGCGTCTTCACTAGGCACAACCGTCCTCGGAAGCTCAGGCACGGGACTGCAGCCAGAGAAAGACAGGTTTGCCGTGCCAGGGAGAAAG